ATTTTAGCTGGCACAAAGCATTATAGTGAATTAATTAATCCTACAACAACACCGTGGGTGTTACTTAACGCCTCACATTGGTTTACTAATTGCGCCTGTCATATTTTGTGCATATGTGTTAGAAATGAAGCTCAGGAGGTTCCAGCTGAAAAAGACAAAGTTATGCAGTCAATTTATTATAAAGCAGAAGGCCACTGAAGCCTGGAACCTGAGTACAGCAAGTCCAGAGTGAGGAGCACAAGGCCCTCATTTTTTGACAATTGTTATTGTTTGCTTGCTTCCGCAGAAAGGCTTTGAAAGGTCTTGAAAGCAGCCAAAGTGAAAACTGTTGAAAGGTTAACTGTGGCATTAATATTTAACGCCTTTCTTTGTCTAGCTAGGGTGTGCAGACGCGGATTTGCACAACACAGAGCCGAGGTGGTTTTGCGGGCCACTGAGTGTGAGTTTGAAAAGCGCGCTGTTACATATACAGCAGCTTTTTCCTCTCTTGTTCCGAGTGAGGAGTGTGAAGTGTCGCTCTCTGAACCCGTGTGCTTCATTACGTAAACAGTAAATAATAAACAGGGGCTTATAAATCATTTACTGCGACCATTGAAGGCAACAAACCCTTTACAGTATGAAATAATTCAGGCTTTCAAAACACGGTTGTTTTGATTACGTTTCCAGTTTGCCTTTGTCATGTAAGTGGATATGCATGGAATATTTTTGTCTTGCAAACTGCAGCCGGGGAAGTCATGGCTTGGCACCTTAGTACCGATCTGACTCATTATCTTCTGACTTCCCACCTAGCAAACTTCATGCATCTGACTCTGGTCTCCTGTTTGTCCCCCAAGCTTGTCTACACACAGTACTATGGGTGACAGGGGGTGCTCTTGTTATGCCCCAGAGCTCTAGAATTCTGTCCCCAAGGAGATCAGTCACCTTCCCTGAGCATTTCAAATCAAAACCTGCTTCTTCAGCGAAGCTTTTACTTTTTTCGGTCCTGTGTCTGCCCCTTGCATCTTCTTCTGCATTCTAAGCACTTGTTCTTAATTGTGCAAATTTTGTTCACTCATCTCCTTTTTAACTTTTAACTTTGAGAAGATACTTTTAAAGGTGCTATACAAAATAAAGTTTATTTTTTATTGGTGAGGACTATTCAAAGCAAAATGGTTTCTTTCAAAATGGTCTTTGTCTTTCACAATTTGTGAATTAATTCATTTTGTTACCCAGTCATTAAAACTACATCTGGTTCTCTTAATATACAAAGATAAAGACACCATGTTGTGTCCCATCATGAGCCTATAAATGAGGGTATATAAAAGAGTCCCAAAAACTCAAATTCTCTAGAGACAAAAACACACTCAGAAGACCCAACATTTTTTTATTTGGATGATAATATTTTTATAAACACTGTTCCCATAATCATTAGGTGCTCTGTTCTTGTTTAGTGACAGTGGTTAAAGGCATACAAGCTGTCAGATGAAAGAGAGGAAAGAAATATTAAAATATTTATCTAGAAACTGTTGCTGCATTGCAACTTGCCTGTAGATGGCACTCCAAAACTGATAAGAGACTGCAATCTGTTTGGTACTAGAGAAAATACTCTTACAGGGCGAAGTGCTGTGAAAGCCTTATGGGTTATTACTGTATATTACCTGTATTAGATTTGCTTGTATTTCTGATTTGAACACAAAGAGATTTAAAATTGAACTGCATTTCTATTTTAAAAATCTGCAGATTTGCTTTCATAGTTCTAGCATTGTCTGAATCAGTTGCAGGTACATTTTCTGTGGTGGTGTACATTAGTACACAAGAAAACATAGTCCACATTCCAAAATCTATTAATGTTTGCAAAGTATGACAAATCCGGACTGGAGAATGTCGTGCTTTTGCCTTAAAATCTTCAACTACCACCAGCTGAATAAAAAGGTTAACATATCCAAACTAAATAACCATAAAGAGTGACTAGTGTTTTGTAGTGTGGAGTATAAGCTCTGTAGCCGAGAAAAGCTTATAAAAGGCCAGACTTACAGTATATTCAAAATAACATTCCCAACAATCTGAAAACTTGGCTGTAACTCTCATTTAATAAGATAGCACCCATACATGTTTATAGACATGCTTTCAGTGTAAAAAGAAGCCTAGTTAATATTTGCTGTGTACTTTTGGAGCTATACACAGACATTAACAACCTATTTCACGTTATTTTAATTAATGTTTTCCAAATAAAATAAATTCAACCCAGCCAACATTTTAGAATAAATGGTGAAACATGATCAGAAGACACAAGTGGAATCAATATGGATGTGCATTGAAAGCTGAAAACAGAAGGCATTTCTTTACACAAATGATTGTGAGAGAGTGGAACAAGGAGCCCAGCCGTGCTGTTGAAGTGGACAACCTGGATACTTTTGAGAAATGGATGGATGGAGTATATAGATCAATTAGTTCTCGTCTGATTTCATTATCTCTCTTATGACCTTAGCAGAAAATTGTCAGCAGGGCATTGTTTTAAGATACACATGCAAGTGCATCATGTTGATTTTCCATCAGCAGCTTAGAACACAGAAACAGAAAGATTTCTTCCAAACTGAAAATATTAGAAATGCTACATTTTTGCTAAGTGTCAATTACCTAGAAAGAGGCTCTCTTAAACACATCTAATTCCTTGGGAGTTTTTAGGAAGGTAAAATATGACAAAACATGGGCTGTGCTTCAGACACTTGCCAGAACTATAAGAAGTGTTTTTATATGAAGTGCTTTAAAATGTGATGGTACAATTTTTATTCAGAAGGCTAACATTTTTAATGGTGTTTTTGCTGGGAAGACATTTAATTAAATAAAAATTAGTGACGCCACTTTATTTTAATGATTGCAAAGGCAATCTATTTAAATAAATCCACTGTAATAAAAGCCATTTGCATTCTACTTTTTTCTGTGTACTGGAAAAATGGCTTTTTGGCACTTTGCAATAGACAACCTTTGTAAGACCTAACTAGCTAAAAGCAAAACCAAAAATCCAACATATTGTAGGATGACATTCAGTTGACCTGGGGTGCTGTCTGTATGGATCTTGCATGTTCTTCCCATGTTCATGTGGGTTTCCTCCCACAGTCCAAAAACATACTGGCAGATTAATTGGGTCGTGAGAAAATTGGCCCAGGTGTGAATGTTTGTGTGCCTGAATGTCTGTGTGCCTGTGATGGACTGCTGGTGACCCTGAATTGAATTAAGCACTTAGAAAATGGATCACCAATTTTTTTCCTTTTTATATCCCACAATGAGGCTTTAACAACAAAGCCCTTGAATATAAGAGGGGGGAAAGTTTGCGTGTGGAGTGATGAATTATATTTTCTTTTTTCCTAAACATGTGCTTATCATAGATATGTGCCATGTTTCTTACTGTGAGTCCCCTGGTTTCTACAGTACAATGTGTTCAGTTACACATCTTACAGAATAATCCAGACTCAACTCTGGATAAGGCTCAACCTGAATCTCTGAATGCCGGTACCCGAGACATGTTTTCGAAATGAACTTAGACATTTTCTTATAGATAGCATGAAAATCTTCATCCGCCTAAGAGATGAAAGCTAGTCATCACCGAGTGCTAAGGATCCACCCTGGGGATTGTGTTGAGCTCAGATATGGCGAGTGGACGTCTGATTGTGAGACAGGGATCCTGGGAAGACCATGTTGTGTCTGCTTCTCTATGCTCAACTGCCTGATTATTGATGTACTGAACTGATATCATGCATTCTGCTTGGGGGGGTGGGTGGCTTACTGTGTTTTTCACCAGCCATGCTGTGTCCTGCCCAGCCCCAGCCCCCACTGCTGCCACTGCAAGAGCAGGAATTTGGCGCTCAAAAGGAGCGGACATGAGCACAGAGCAGGATCTTGACCCTATCAATCCAAAACAAATCATGCAAATCTAAAACAATCAGAACTATTTTGGGGACCATGGCTTGTGCATTCTGTTGTTCATGACATGCCTGCAGTGTTGTTGATAATATTTTCCCATATTATTAATATTTATACAGTATATAATTGAATTTTAGATACCTATAAACTTTTGCAGTTTTGTAACATCAGTGTATGAAACCTCTCCCAATTCATATTCCTCAATTGAAACCTTCTTAATCTTAAGATTTTTTTTTACTTTACATCGTTTTACTTTATCCTTATCTCCAGATCCCGGCTGTGCTCTAAATTGATGGCACATATTTAAACTCGGGGTGTGCTGCCGTCTCTGCTGATAGATCTCTCAAAGGAAAGGGTAGAAATGAACCAGCCGCTTAAAAACACTAATGACTTTATTCTTGTACAGTATAGTCAGAGGCAGGTGCACAAACATCGGCCAAGTGATCTTTGGTCCGAAGTGGAGCAAGCATTTCCTTGCCCCTTTTCACAGAAAATACCAGTTCTGATTTGCTTGTATTTCTGAACATGTAAAGTGACTGCATTAACATGTTGCTGGCAAATCTAACACGTGTGCCAGTAGAATCAAGTGCACATTTGCTCACTGCTGTGTTAAGCTAATGGTTGCAGCTCTGCTATGCCCCTGCAGGGATTTGATCAGGTAGCAGGCTCAGAGCACTAACAGAGTGCTCTGCCAGTGGCAAATTCCAATACGTCTCTCAAAAGACCAGGTCTTCGGCTGTGGGAGAATTCAATTTAGGTTTCAAGGGGGTGATGTCACTTCTGTAACAGGCTCAGTGCCAACTAGCTCATGTTGCCAGGGTTGTGAAATTGTACAACTAGGGGGCACTACTAATAATGTGTTGCTGCTTCCCCTCAGAACCTGACAACATAAAGTTACTAAAGGTCTTCTGTCCCATTTGGCACAAGTGGTCGGTAATAGCTTTTTGCTGATCCAAATATATTGTTTATATATTTCTGAAGCCAAGGCATTGGCCTGAACAATATGGCTGAGTAACTTGTTCCATACTCCCACAACCCTTGGAGTAAAGGCTTGTCTCCTGTTCTTGGTTGTAAATGCACATCCACCTAGTTTTCACTTGTGTCCTCTGGTTCATGTTTCCCTGCTGATTGTGAACAAGTCCACTGGGTTGACTGCCAAGCTGTTTAAGGTCCCCTCGTAGTCTTGCCTCTTCCAGACTAAAAAGATTGAGTTCTTTCAGCCTCTGAGTGTATGACTCTCCGCTCTCCATGGACACACCCCCTGGTAGCAAAGACTTCAACTGGAGTGTGCTTGCTGTGACCCACTTTGACGACACAGTTCTGTTAATGTATTTGTTAACAGTTTGGGTCTTATTATCACCTGCATACATGAAATAACTTCACCAGTACCCTGTTCTTGTAATTACACTGATGCAGCATCAGTGTCACGTTAAGAACATTGCCACTTCACATCATCAACACCCCAGTAAGTGTAGATTATTTCTCTAATACATAACAAAATAAAAGCTGAAGGGCCCAATTTTCCCTGCTGGCAATCAGAGAGCAAATTCTCATGTAATTAATTTCAAATGGGCAATTTGCCCACTGATTTTCCAGCAGGGAATGTAGGGACCAGTGTAATATAGTCCATATAACTCCCTTCTAAGATCTAACATGTATATGAATTTTAGAGGAAAAATGCAGTTTTCTTTCTATTTTTATCATAAAGTTTCAACGGCCTTTACCACAAATATTTTTCTTACAAAGGATATAGCACATGGCAGCACTGATCATTGGTAATTAATTCTCTAGGTCTTGGAAGCTGTTTGTAACACCTAAAGCAAGGACAACATGAGCATTTTTTGTTTTGTAATGGGGACTGAAGTACAAGTGAGAGTTCTGGGGCAGCTGGGGGCAGTTGCTCTTAATCCAGCGCCTTGTGAAGTGCGAGTTGCTTCTGGGAATAATGCGAGCAATGGGGCGAGGAACAGCCTGGCTAGCGGACTGGGAAGCAGTGTAGTCAGAGGGAGATCCATGGACGACCATCTCACATCTGCTTCTTCATGCTCAACTGCACAATTATTGACCTACTGAACTGATATCCTGCGTATCGGGGAAGGCGGGGATGTTTCTCATGCTCATGCTCTGTCAGGCGCAATCACAGTCCCCCCACCCCCTCCCCCGTTGCCAAAAAAAAGCCAATTGTCATGTTGGCGTATTTTTTTTTTCCATTTCTAACTGGGTGGTACATCAGCACTAGCTCCTATCCATAATCCTCTGCAAAGCAAGGGGCAATTGAAAGGGTCCAGCCTGAGATCAGAATTAGTGCAGTTTTCCCAATTGGAATTTCCCTTAGATATGTGGAAAACAGCTTTAATTACTATTTAACATTTCTTTCATTAATTGTGCTGTTTTAGATGTCTGCTTAGTGGACCCATGCTTTACTCTTTGAGTCAGTGCCCTTCAGAGGCAGTTTCTGTCTGAAATGAAGTGTCCTTTAACATTTTGTATTATCTTGGGAAGAGGCCTGGGAAAGGGCTTGAGCTTAAGCTAAATGGGCTTCCTTTAGTCATATCATGTCTTTCCATACTATTACTACCATATGCTTCCCATCATCATCTGGCTTTTCCAATCCAATGACAGAGAAGGGGTCCGTATGATCCAGCCACACAGCCCAGTTCTTCTCTTGCCTGGAATGCAGGCTGAGCTCTGCGGTCCAGATGTCACGAGTTCAGGCCAAACCACAAGTTCAGTCACACAACTGACCTGGGCGAGGTGGGGGAATACTCTTTTGTTGGCTTTCAAGTAGACAGAGACTCCTGTGGCTTGTCAGGCCTCTCTGGGCTTGTGGTGACGTGCATTCGCTCTCCTGTTAGTCACTGTGGGGCTGGGGGGCGGGCAGATCAAAGGAGCATGTCTGCTCTTCATCATCCTTCCCACGCGCTACAGAGGTGCCGTCCTGTGCCGAGGTGGAAGGCAAGACTTGGTGATTCCAAAGTGGGTGGGTATAGAAAGAAACCTACACAAACTACCGTAAAATAGAATACTTTTTGTCCAGAAATGCCTGTTCTGGCATCTCTATTCTGTGGCTCTTCAAAAATAAACAGAAACAGAACACATAAATATGGGTGGCATGGTGACACAGAGGCTTTGCTGCCTCACAACGATGGGACCCTGGGTACAATTCTGGACCTGGGGTGTTCTCTGCATGGAATTTGTATGTCCGCTCTGTGTTCCCTTGGGTTTCCTCTTTCCACAATTCAGAGACATACTGGTAGGTTAATTGGCTTCTGAACAAGTTGGCCCTAGGTGTGAGTGTGTTTGTCCCAGTCCCTGCGATGGACTGTCTTTCCATCAAGAGTGTATCCTGCCTTGTGCTCATTGCTTGCTGAGATAGGCTCCTGCTACCCTGTAACCCTGAATTGGATGAAGCAGTTAGCATTTAGCTGGATGGGACAAATAAATAAAAACTAAATAAACTCAGCACTAAAAACCATTTGGTCTGCATCCAGTTTCAGTTCTTATGAGATCCTCTCTCTGTATTGTAATTTCACTGAATGAGCAGTGACACATAACTCTAAGATACTGAGCACGGTAACAGTGAATTACGGACAAACACACACACAGACATTTTAATTGAACAACTACTTGCAATACAATTAATGTTTTTGTAAAATAAACACATGCACTCTATAAATGCACCAAATGTTCAATAAATAATGCCTGCTTATTTTATCTAGAGAGCTTTTTTTAAGTAGTAGATGAAAAATGTTATTGAGAAACCATGTAAACCACACACTAACATTAGACTACAAGGTAAAACTGTAGAGGTGCAAATGAATATAGCTACAATATTTGCATCGCTCAATGATATAGCTGCAGGGTAGGCTGTAAGGACATGTCAGCTCAAGGCCACAGAATTCAAAGTTCATAAATTAGCCAGAGCTTCTGCCCCCTTACACAGCTCTGCTGTAAACATCTGGCCTCACTCTGTATCAGGCACTCGTGATGGATTTGTCAAAGATTAAAATCTGATCTGACACAAGAAATACATATATTTTTGGTCCATTAAGTGAATTCTGTTTGGTTAATACTGTGCACTTGTGTCTAAGATATTTTGTCAATAATCAGTTGACACACTGCCAACGACATGACAATAGCTTCAGTCAGGTTTTATCAATCAGGTTATGTAATTGACCAGGCGTCTTTCAATTCTGTAAATCTGAAGACGGGACTCTATTGCAACATCAAGAGACTGTGAACAGTCCATGTCCAGACTTGTTTGCCCATGTTAGAAGTGTGTGCTATGCTATTTTGATGTGACTGTAGATACTGTCTAATGTTAGACTCTCTTTCAGCATCCCAGAGATTCCTGTCTGTAGCATATGGAAATGCATCAGTCCTTACTCCAATTCTCTGTAACAGCGATGGGCAGCTCCAGTTCTCCAGGGCTCCAGTCTTAAGAGCTTTACAGCGGCTTTTCAATTGGCATCTGAGTGAGAGCTGAAAACACAAGTAATTTCATTAGTCCTAATCCAAATACTTAGCTCACTGAAGTTATTAAAACCAGAAGTGGATTAATCCTCAGGACCTGCATCCCTTGAAGACATTCCAGTCTGCAATGAAGGAATTTACTCTGCAGATTTTCGCCTTCCTCTTTCCCCGATGTATGTAGCCTCAGGTGCCTTCACTAATACACACATTATCCTGACCCTCGGTCTGATCCACACTATGTAATTCAGTGTATTTTTTGACAGGCAACGTAGTGTTGGGCAACATGACACCAGCCTTGCCTCTGAGTCATTCTAGGATGTTCATTCTTTATGACACATTGCAACAATTTTTAACATGTTTTCAGTAACACTATAAAATAATACTTGCGCATCGCTAGTGGCCTGATGAATTCTAAAATGGGAGATAGTGACACACTGGCAGAAAAATGTACACTTTCCAAATGATTTGCTAATTGTAAATCTGTTTCTCTTTAGTTCTTTGAGCATCTAAACATTACTGTGTTGACTGTGTATCCAATGCAAAGGTTACGGGGTTATAGTGTAACACAAACCTGTTATCATGAAGTCACTTCTATTGGCCGTTCAATAGCATTCCCCCCAAATCTACTACAGATGGAGACAGGTCTTGTGGACACAGCAGGCGTAGTGCATTTCTGGGATGGATGGATCGGATAGTGTGTGTTGCGCCTGGGGTTGTGGTTAAAATCTTGGGTTTGCTCACATAAACAACCCTGTGAAGAACAACAAAAGTAATACAGTACAAACTCATCTCAGATTGAAGAGGTGAGCAGCGTATTCCGCAGATAAAAGCCTTTATATTCATGTGAAATCCACTAGATGATTGGCTAGTTTTAGCTTCCTATTATTCCCTTATAATTGCAGTGTGTATTACTCTACTTGGGTGGCACAGCCTTGCAGCACTGGGGCCCCGAGTTCAATTCCATACCTGGCATGCTATCCATGTGGAATTTGTATGTTCCCCGTGTGTTTGTGTGGGTGTCCTCCAGGTACTCCGGTTTCCTCTGAAAATACCAAAATGTAGCAGTAGGTAAATTGACTTCTAGGAAAAATGGGCTTGGTGTGTCCCTGTGTGTCTGCCTTGCAATGGACTAGTGTCCCATCCAGGTTATTGTCATGAACAGTTCTTTCAGGGCCCTATGCAGATGACACAATCCAAAATAGTGAGGAAACACTAGCAAAAAGTCATGCAGGAGACGGGTATGGAGACAGGGGGGCGTGTCCTAGGTGTGCAGGGGAAGTGAGTCCGGGGCGAACGATGCAAGATGAAGTCCAAACGGGAAACCAAAACAGAAGCATAAGTCCATGGCCAGGCAATCCATCCAGGGGATTCAAAACCAGGAACCGGGTCGGGACCGGCGGGGGGGATCAGGAACAGAAAGTTAAAACCATAACTGAGCCAGACGCAGCAGGACCCGGGCTCTCACGAAACGGAATTCAGTGAAGAGCCTCGAGTGACGTCTGCATCTGGCTTTTAAGGGGGAACTGAAGAGGGGCTGGAATAAGGAACAGGTGCAGGTAATGGGGCAGAACAAGGAAGGGCTGGAGTGCCCTTAAGAGGAGGAGTGGCGATCGTAACAGTTATACCCTGCCTTGCGCCTGATGCTTGCTGGGACAGACTTTGGCTCCTCTGCTACCCTGAATTGGAAGCCGTGGATAGGATTGAATAGATTAAGTTAATCTATGGTCATTTTGTAATACATAATGGTGATATTAAGGGTAAAGGCAGAGCAGAGCATTTGGTCCAGGACGGATTGGCTAAGGCAGAGGTTAAATAACTGTTTCCTGTGAGCACAGTCTTTCAGTTTTCCTTTCAATTCCCACATGGAGAGGGCTGAGCAAAACCCTTAACTGAGCAGAGCTTGGGCTAAATCAGACCGTTTTGGATTTTCCTAGAGCCTGAAAAGGCTGTTTAATTAAAAGTATCTAAGATAAAGTTAAAGTAGCTAGAATTTCGGAGGAAAAAACTGGCAAGACCTATAAGTGACAATTCAATGAAAGTGCTAAGCTCAGTATAAACAGGAGGCATGGCTCAAAGCAAAGTGTTGTATAATCTGTCTAAGAAATGCTGGATGAGATTGGATGGATAGATATTAGCTCTAAAAGGAGCAAGAACCACTGTATGGCCCACTCTTGCTGGGCTTGCTATGTATTTAAGTGAAAAAGGCAACTGCACAAAACTCTTCAAGGTTGTGGTGGCAATACATTTTGCTTGCTATTTTACTGACTCCCAGTCCGTTACACTAAAAAATAATTTAATGACATAATAGCTCAGAGCAGTACGGCACAGCCTAAGTGGAGTGAAAACAAGGAGTCTATGGAGTATTGTTGTGGTCTACTACTGCCAAAAAAATCATTAGCTCAGTTTAAGGTTCACATTAAGTAATTGAACACAGCTGGAGCAAAATCCAGGTTTTTGTGTTCCAAAGGACATAAATGATATCTTCCACGATGATTAAAATATTCACTGCAGGCAGCAACAGAGGGAAAAAGGTCATTTGTAGGGGAACCACCATCTAAATGGAATGAGGAGTGATGCCTGTGTTGCTCTGACATCAGCTCTGCACTTTCAGGAGGTACTAAACTTGAGAGACAAACTTGAAAAACTGTACTCTCCACCGGAACTCCCTTTCTGTCTCTGTGAAAGGTCTGACCATTCAGCTGAGAAATACATGCAAAGTGAAAATCACAAACCTTTGGCAATTCTATCAATAGCCGTCTGTAACTAGCTGCCAGGATGTGTAATATTTTTTTAGATGCCTGTATATTGTAATGCAATGTTGCGTACAATTGTAGGCCTCTTTTGAAAGAACTAGTTGTAATCCTTTTGTATGATTTAGTTCATATTGCTATGTTTGCACATTTGTATGTATAGCTTGCACAGTGGCATAAGAATTCTTGCTTGCAGCATTGAAGCAAATTCCACCTGCACACTGTGTCACTCAGTACGAAAAAACTCTGTATCTGAGGGATTTGACTTTAAAGTTTATTCTGAACGAAATGATTCTTTATATTTGAACACCAAAAATTTGTGGATTTGTATTGCCGGTCAGAAAAACAGGACAAAAGGAGCACCCCCTTAAGGATTTTTCCATGGCCCATGTGAACACAAGCTCTCTCTCAGTTACTACTGAAATACAGTGTGTCGGGTGTTCACACACTGATAAGAAGGCAGGCTCTGAAATGAAAGTTAGGTATTATATGCTGATTTGTCAAAGTATGTAAATATATTTTAGCATTATTAAATACAGGGATATTACATGGGCACCACAGTGGTTAGTGTTGCTGCCTTTCAACCGTAGGCTCTGGGTTCAATTCAGGACTTGGGGTGCTATCTATGTGGAGTTTGTATGTTCTTCCCAGGCTCGCATACAGTAGGTATCCCCTGGGTGCTCTGGTTTCCTGCTTTGATGTGATTGTGGATACTGTGTAATATTAGACTCTCCCTCAGCATCCCAGAAATTCCTGTCAGTAGCAGTCAATGCTCAGGTGTCTTCTCTGCTGCAACTGCAAGCATATGGAAATGCATCAGCCCTTACTTCAGTTCTCTGTAACAGTGATGGGCAGCTCCAGTTCTCCAGGGCTCCAGTCTTAAGAGCTTTACAGCGGCTTTTCAATTGGCATCTGGGTGAGAGCTGAAAACACAAGTAATTTCATTAGTCCTAATCCAAATACTTAGCTCACTGAAGTTATTAAAACCGGAAGTGGTTTCATCCTCAGGACCTGCATCCCTTGAAGACATTCCAGGCTGCAATGCAGGAATTTACTCTGCAGATTTTCACCTTCCTATCTCCCTGATGTTTCCTTCCACAGTCCAAAAACATACTGGTAGCTCAATTGGGTCCGGAATAGCACCTATGACCCCAGTGCATAGCTCCACCATGCTGGTCCATAGAAGAGGTATTGCTGTAAAATAAGTATAGTTTCACAAATGTATTTATTACAATAAATCAATTAGTGACTGACCTTGATGGAGATGGAGGTTGCTAACGCTTATGCCTGTGTCTCTTTAAAGACATACCTGTATAGATCACTTCAAACATTATATTACTCTTTTCCATAGCCATTGTCCTCTGTGACATTAAATCCTATATGGATATAAATGACGTTTGATTCCTGTGAATGAAGGTCTGACTCCTGCACAAAGAATGGTGACATCAAAAGCACAACTAAAACTTAAATTCAATGCCAGCTGTTATATTTTTTTACATTTAATTATGTCTACTGGTCCTCTGATCACCCCAGTCATTGGATCATACTACGCACCTCAACTGCCCTGCTTTGTCCCAGGTAGTCCAGATTGCTTTAAGGGTGTCTCAATTTTATATCCTTATATATAATTACTGTGTATAAGATAATTGTATATCCTTTGGGGGCATATAATCTCACTGGCAGTATTTTTCCAATAAATGCTCTCTGCTATTTGGTTTTCAACAGCACTGATGTACAGTAAGTACTGATACAAATGCTGATTACTGAGTGAATGTGCTGTGGGCTCGAGAGAGGTTTGGCGCTGAAGAAACTCTGATTCCTTTGGGATTTCAGTGCATGTTGTATTTTCGCAAACTCAATTTTCATCCCCTTTTATTAAATTAGCTTTGTGCTTTATGGATAAATCATTCAGCTGGATACAAATTGGGATAATTAATCATGTAAATTCTAAAACACATATTATATATATAAACATATAAATATATTGTATACAGTATGTTGTATATGCAGTATATATATGCATACATATATTTGCATGACTTATATCCATTTATATAGATTGTTGTACTTAGGCCTTGGACACATCAGGAGTTACATGTACTATATGTATGCTACGAGCGTCAGCAGTTTATTGAAAGCATTCTTTCATGTTTTTTGCTATTACAACAACTCCGGCCGTTATTAAGGCAGCTTAGTTTGGATGAGAAGGAACCAAGTGTATCATTTTTCAATCTTTAATTCACATTGATCAGAATCTTCAAAAACCTGATTGCAGCAACTCAAGGTAAGAGCACAAGAGCAGCCCTGGAGGGGCGTTGTAACTAATCCATCACATTAATCAGTCAATCCCATTCAACTTGCTGTCAGGTGCTCTCCATCTTAAACACGGTTTGTTCCTCTCTACACATCTAGAAAGCTAAAAGGGTACCGTCGGTATTATAAAACACAGAGCTTGTGGGATTGTTAGAGTAAAAAAAAAATGAATCCAGGAAATCATGTTGGAATTATGTTTCTGTATAAAGGAGGAAAAACACTGAAGTGCTGAACAATGCACAATATCTAATCTAAAATGCCTAAGACCTCTGCACAGCAGTGCGGTACTATATTTGCATTTGTTTCTTCCCTTAAGCAATTCGAATGGGCTGTATTTTTTAGGTGAGCAATAACATTCTTCCCTATGCACATGGCAGTGAAGTGTTATTGTTGTGGGTTTACACATTACACCTTGCATATTACCACGCCATTATTCCCTGACCTACATAGTAGTGCTGGAAAAAAAAAGACTTCCTTCTTTTCAGTCCCTGGCCGCCGCTAATTGATCCCAAGGACACATTATGTAGAGCCCCCCGCCTCCCCCCCAGTGACAACGTTTTCTCCCGTTGCTCTTTTGAATGGCGTGGCGTTATCAGATCTAATTTGATAAGCTGCACGTCTCTGTGCTGGAAGGTGCAGTCTTTTGCAGCCTTTTAGGCCTGCTGCATCTTTCTGTTCATCGTCTGAAACCCGGTCCCCAAGAAGGCAAAGACACGCCTGCCGGAGGCCTTTAGGGCACGAAGACAGTGCTGGTGCCTGTGGGAGAGGAGGGAAGTGGCAGAGCGGAGGAGTTTAAAAAACAAGCAAACACAAAAAACAAGAAACTGGCAACTTAGGACAATCAAAGCAGCACCAAATTCAGAGCCGCACTGTTTGTGGTCCTAGTGGGTTGTTTCTAGTCTCTTGCACAGACCACTGGGGACTCACTCCCTGCTATAACGACTGTTTGAATCGCAGGCCAAAAAAGAGAAGTGCCAAGCCTTGGAAGTTAATAAGGCGGGCATAGTGGCGCAGTGGTCAGCAGCGCTACCTCGCAGCACCGCGGCCCTGGGTTCAATGTGTTTGTAAAGTCTGAGGTCCTCTGGCTGTTCCAGTTTCCTTCCACAGTCCCAAGACATACTGCAGGGTCAGCTGGCTTCTGGGAAAATTGGCGTGAGTGTCCCGCAATGAAGTGGTGTCCCGTCTAGAGTGTACTCTGCCTGGTGCCCTTTGCTTGGTGGGATGGGTTCCAGCTGCCCCATGACCCTCTATGGGATAAAGCAGAAATTAGAAAATGGATGAATAGATGGGTGCTAATAATAATAATAATGACCCCATGATAGATAAGATCATGTTGCTCTGGCAGGTGTATGAACACTATGTACTCTGACAGTGTGAGATAAATGGTATAAAAGGCTGCTACTCTTGTTCCAAGGATAAATGAACTGCAAGTAAATCTATTATTTAAATAGAGTGCTGCCAGCATGCTTGGCATACCATTACTGTAGTTCACCTTTGGAGGTCAGACTTTGTTTGTTTCCACCACTACCACCTCTTGTTTTCAAAGTAGTTTTTTTTTTAACCTCATTTCAGTTTTCCGGATGAACAAAATAGAGATAGATAGGATAGGAATGTAAATATGAATTAGCAAAGGGACCTCTTTGCCTAGGCTACACTGAAGAACTGATTAAACTTACTTATCTTCCACTTTGTGCTTATAAATTTAAAATAAGCAGTCAGTGCCATTAGAATGGGTTTCTTGTGAAATACTCATTTCACAGGTCAAAAGTAGGTGTGACACATGGATGATATATACTGCAATGCTGAAAGGTGTCCCTGGTTAAATATATAAAAATTTCATCTCCTGTCCATCCTGAACAGAGGGGAGCTTATTACTATTAAGATCCATAATTAATTGCAGCTGCATGTTTTTAACATACACCCTAAGGTTATGAAGGGTGAGTTCCTTTTAGTAGATAGATACCAAGTATACAAAATGACCATTAACACTGGTTAATAAATACTGGTCTGCTTTGTTATTTGGCAGGTTATAGGATATAGTTATGATGCTTACAATTTTTGTATACATTTAGCGATTCTTGAGTATCAGAAATGACTGAGCATGTTTTTTCTGGGTATTCCTGAGCAGACAGTTTCCAATATGTTGTAACTGATGTAAAGCACACTGTCGAATGGGTAATTAAGCAAATAGTTTTCTGTTTGCTGTATAACAAGGTGTTCAGAGCCAAAGGCTGGAAAATTTCTTTCAGATGAATCTTAGAGCCTTGATTTCACAAGGCTGTTGGCTTTTATCCATCTCCTTCCTCTCAATGACTCATGTCCTATTCACTTGACTATGAGCTTTATGTCCACACTTCAAAATATACAACATGAACGAATGACTGTGATGGACTGGCATCCTGTCCAGAATGTATCCTGCTCTGTACCTGTTGCTTTCCAGACTGGACCCTGGATCCAGCGCAACCCTTTAGTGGACATAGCAGTTTAGAAAATGGATGGATGAACAAATGAACTAGAATACCTTTATTCTCAATACTGTCACCTTATCTGTTGCCAAAGAGTATGATCTGTTACGATGCAGAGGAAGTACACAAAATCCTGAAGGCATTTTTTAAGCTTGCATTGGATGCTTGTTTGCAGGCATGGTTTGTCGCCGGTAATTATCATTCAACACTGAATAAGGGCAGTTACAGTATTTTCAATTTGGAACTGTAATGCAAACAGAAGAATAAAATATACCCGCTGTCATAAAGACAATGAATTACTGCATGAATTCCTAACATCTGTGGAACCACAGGAGCTACTCTTTGACATTCCGACAAGAAATTGTCTGTGAATTCCAAAGATGTATTAACAGAATGTCCTTTAAACCTTTTTAACTCAATTCCCCATAAATTAACAGTGTTTGCTCACCTTCAGGATTTCTAAACCTTGTATTAGACTTCTAATTCCATGAGGCCAATCCACTTTAAGACTTATTATCATAGGAATCTGGAAAGTGCTTCTGATCTTCAGTGCTGGCTCCATTCATGCTCCATCCATTTTGCAATCTGGGGCTGTTATTTATATAGAGTTCTCAATCCAAGTACTACATTTTCGTAACACCGATGCCACATTGAATAAGTCCAAAAAGGAGTTCAATGCTAGTGAGACAAATGTGTCTACAACCGCACAATGTACGTTTGCCTGCGAATTGTACGAGGAACATATTGTTCACAGGCAGTCAGGATGGGTCGCTTGTCATGAGAATGTGAACAAGCTCTGACAATTCGTCTGCAAAGGCTGCCATATGTGCATGTCATGAGTGGCAGTGATGGGTTTTCATCACTCAGTGCTGGGTAGATGAATCTTATACATTAAAAGAATTTGTCATCATTTCAGGACTATAGCTGAGCTCAGTATCCACATTGAAAATGCTTAACACTAACCTTTTGTTGCTCATTTTGACTGCCAGAACTGAGGTGTGATGTACACTCCGATGAGTTCACAGACTCACGAAGAGTTAGGAAATCTGCTCAGCTCTCAAAAGCTCACCCTGACAGACGGCCTGGGTGTACTGTTTTCCATGTAACAAAAGTTTAACTTGGACAGATGAAAACCAAAAACAGTTTGGGCATGTTCTGAATTGATAGATTATGGTTCTCAAAAGCTCAATCTTTTTTTTTATTCCTTCTGCTATAATTAAGTCAAATCAATGTAAATCCATCTGCCTTCTTTTTTATCCTCGCATTACTTGTACTTTTTAAAGTCATTAAATAGAATGATTTGACAGAACATAACAACGAAATTATATCGTTATTAATAATAAAAAATAACATGTAATTATGTGGAAGCAAAAGGGCAATTAGACCCACTTAGTGTGAACCATCTTGGCACGTTAATAATAACGCACTCGTAATTCGAAACTTCAAACAATCAATCTTACTGCACAAATAACTTCTGACTGATTCAATTAAATAAATATGTGACTTATTTTTCTGCATTATTTATACACTTGTGCTATACCTTTGCATTAAAGCTCAGAATTTCCTGCTGCTCGATACATCATTTTTGTCTTTAAATGTTGCTTTCATTAGAATCAAATAAACCATTAAAGCAAAAAATCCCCCAAATGGGACAAACTGGACAAAAGATAAATTAAATAAATACAAGCTCACATACCAAACAGACTTCCAGCCTTCTTCTTCGCTTTTAAGCTTTGCTTTAAAAAAACCCATATACTGTTTTGGCCCATTTTCCTCACACGGATAAAAAAGCTCTCTCTTTTCAGATCACAGCTCCCTCTTTCTGAAAAAGCAAGATCAAATTAAGGAGTCAACTGTGACTTGTCTCCCGTGTGAAGCTGAAGCAAAGAGCGATGGTACAGATTTTAACCCCACTGCTCTGGTTCCTGTCTGCTGAAAATGAGGAAGTGGGTCAGGCCTTCAGGTTAACAACACAGCATTGTGGTTCTTTCAAGCATGTGGTGTAATTTATTTAAAGAAATCCTCTCCTATATTGTTATTATTCTGCAACAAATCTATACCGCCCCCCTCAGCCAAAATCCTGGGTATGTCACTGGTCCACATTAATCACCCTACATAGCTAATATAATACTAAATTGGAAATAGGAAAGGAAATAGGAAATGCACAGTTTTTTGTTCATTTTTCAGAATATAGAAAAAATCCATGCACCAATTATCACAAACTTGCTTATTTTTGATAAGGGTCTTCAACAACTCATCCCAGAGGCATAGAGCTTACAGGACACCAGGCCAATTTGGGGAACAGAACTGTCCTACTGTCACAGAACTGTCCTACACTCTGGACTGAACACCAGGCCTGTCACAGGATTGTTCTACACCCTGGACTGAACACCAGGCCTGTCACAGAACTGTCCTACACCCTGGACAAGACACCAGGCCTATCACAGAACTGTCCTACACTCTGGACGGAACATCAGGCCTGTCACAGGACTGTCCTACACCCTGGACAAACTACCAGGCCTGTCACAGGACTGTCCTACACCCTGGACAAGACACCAGGCCTGTCACAGAACTGTCCTACACTCTGGACAAGACACCAGGCCTGTCACAGAACTGTCCTACACTCTGGACGGAACATCAGGCCTGTCACAGGACTGTCCTACACCCTGGTCGGAACACCAGGCCAATTCAGGGTACAAGGGTGCAATACATCATGAACAGGACACCAGGCCAAGACAGTCAGCATGCACATGCACAACAAGGATAATTCAGACATACCAGTTAACTTCACCTGCATGTACTTTGGAAGGCAAGGGGAAACTGGAGCACCTGGTACCAACCTACTGTACTTGGGTAGGTGCAAAGTCCACAGAGAAGACAGCGCAGGACAGAATCAAACTCTAAGCCTCAGGAGCTGTGAGGCAGCAGTGCCGACTGCCAGGCCACTGTACTGCCCATAAAGCAATGCTATCTGTCCAAAACCTTGTATGTACCACGTAGTCATATTAGTGTTTCAAAATTTGGATGAACCTTATTATTATTGCTTTTTGCACAAAGCCAGTTGACCTCTAAGAAACATCATGATTTTCATAAGCCTCAGGACGTGCACAGAACAGTCACAACTGCTTTGCTAACCCAGATTTGCTCCCTTGTGATGGTGAAGTAAAAAAAAAAACCTACAGAAAGAGTCTAGGACAAGGAAGCAAACTTAATTACACCACAACCACATGAAGAGTGCTCCCCAGGGAACAGAGGAGATCATCAAGGCTTGTCTCCGAGGTTCCACTTGAGATGCAGGAGTGCGCCCCCGGTGGGGCGGGGGAAAGGCACAGTGGGCTGTGCCATCATAGCGCGCTGTGATCCTTTTCGGGAAGATTGCAGCTGGTGCTCCTCTCCATGTGTGCATGCCGGGGCTCTGTGCAGGCAGAGATAACCCCAGGTAATCACCATAAACCACCTGCACTATCCCTCTATCTGTAGGAGTTCTTTTACTAGATTCCTGCAGCTTAAATCTGTGACAGACCGCTTCATAATCACTGCCGTGGGGCCCCTGCTCGCATTCAATGCATGCACTCCCACAGAAAGATTATTTTTGTGCTTATCCTACATAATCACGACACAATAGTGGGACAGGCGATCTTAAGCGGGGCTGCACGCTTCCATCCAGGCACACAGAATGGCTTGTGTGTTTAGTCCCTTGGCTTAAAGGATCCCTCACATCCTGATACTTCCACTTGCTTCTATCCATCGTATGCATTTTCAGAAGATTGTTCCAGCCATGTTTGCTGGAGTTGAGCTGAACTCTTTTCATTTATGAGATCACAACAGAAGAGCATCATGACTCTGTGAGCCCCCAGACAATCATACCAGAGAAAACACCTAAAAGGTAGTAAAAATATATTATTTTATTTATATTATATATATTAGATGTAATTAACAACAAGAGCGGGTCAATATTTTCTATACTTCTTTTTTTATGGTCTCTATGTTTTTCACTGACCTGTATATTGCTGAACAAACCACACCCCGAGTATATCATAATTATCCATAAAAGTAACTATACACATATATGTTTTTTTATGCTATTATATTTCTTTATATACAGAGCATTCCATAGGGACAAAAGTATTGACATGTGTCTTTTGAATCAATTTTATTAAATAATAAATTTAATCTTGTATTAAGAACATTTTAAGACTTCTCATTCCCCTCCTTTTGCACACAAAACATCAGCAACCATCAATAACTTTCACCCTCGTTACCCATCACCTATGTGGAATGACCTAGACCAGTGATGGCATTTAGTGTATTAGAATGAACATCCTTCAATTAAGAAGGTCCAAGAAATTGTTCAGAACTTCAATGTTTAAGAAGGTAGTCTTAACTACAGGATATAAATAGTAACTCTTTACTTATCTCCTTTAAAATACAATTTAGGCAGAAAAGCTCACCGGGGACTTCACAGAGCAAAGGCAGAGAAAACAAGAAATTCTCACCTCACCCCCATACAAGATACTAGAGTGAGCAACAGCTCCTTAGATGAGCAGAGGTATGATTAATTTCCTTATGAAGCCTAAATACACATGAAAGCAAAATTAAAAAGCCCCCAGATGGTTGTGCTTTGGAATACTGAAGTTAGTTTAAGTGAAGATCTGATCTTTCCTTCCCTCATCAATTTTGGCTGATCCTGTTAGGCCAGGAACAACACTAACTTCTGCCGCTGTCTCAGCGGCCATATAGAGGTTTCCTCTCAGTAATTACACATTCCAAGACCTCCTGTCAGCTGATATTCAAACTAATAACTCAGTCAACTCCCATCTCTTTCATCTAGAAGATGACTACCCTTATTGTGCAATGACCAGCAATGCCTAAGTCCTTCAGGTCCTAATGTCTTCCATCAGCCCTGATTCAGCTGGCCTGGCTTGCTCCACTGCAGCTCACTTCAAAGCCTAACAAAGCTGGCAAACATATCTACTAAACAGCCACCTCCCAAGTACCTGTGATGCCCCTCAGCACAGTCATAATCCATATTTTCTTGAGTATTTCTAAGTCAGAGTCTCACAAACCTGTAAACCACTCAATCTATCGCAAATGAAACCCCCACACCCCCCACAATTCCCTCATATCAACCTGGAAGCTAGACACAGACTGAAATCCTGAGGCCCTTCTGCTCCTAGATGTTCTTATAAACCTCTTTAGCTCAAAGTAGTGGCCAATTCCACACAGATCCTATCCCACCTCCTTTCCCTCATGTGGAATTTCACTCCCTCTGAGTGCTAAATACCCATCCAGAGTAAGTGTCCCTCAACAAGTTCTTTTAATTAACAGTCAGCCATCCTGACAAGCTGGCAGAATTAATAAGTATATAGTCTTAAATTGTAAGTGACCTCTGTTGTAAAAACATCTTAACATGATCTGTGTTTCTTACACAATTTAGATTTATCTCAATTCACGGGTACAGGTGTGTCTAAATGTCTCTGATGAAACACAATAAGAGCAAAACAGCTGTTCGTGGCTGCTAATTATGGCTAAATATAAGTGAAGCAGAATCACATGCGCTGTATCTTTAGACATCTTTGCTTTCTATAAAAGTAATAAATATGCCTAGGAGACCGACAAATTTTAAAATACACTAGAAGTTGGATATGCTTCTAAGAAATGAAGTATAAAAAATGCATACCAGTCAATGGTAATTCTCTACAAATCCAAGCCTTGAAGTCCCCTTTTTTTAATAATAATCTTGTCTGATGCTACAAAAAGGTATCTGCTCACTAGCACTTTTACTTGGGGGAATGTTAAACAAATTGTACATGGATGGGGTTAAAATTGAATTGTTGGATTTGATCTTGAAATCATTAGTATTGTAATTACATTTAACCATCCCCTGGTTTTTCTTGTACCTGCCTCTAATCACATCAGGAGTGTGTGCCTAGCAGATGCCATGTCAGGTAAATGAAATAATTTGCATTAACAAAGCACCTAAACTGAGAAACTTTGTTGGATAATTATACAACACACAGATTATTACTTTCCCTTCAATGTTTGGAATCTCATTCCTTGAGGCCCACTCTAAACATTGGCAGTGTTGCTGTGAACTTAGACAGGATGAACCAGAGCAAACTGAAGGAAAAACAGTGCTTATGTGCCAAGCAGATGTTATGTACTTCTTTCCAGTGTTGTGCGTTTTTTTTTCTCCGTTTTACAAGACCTAGTAACATCTAATGTATTAAATTTAGATTTAACGCTGTTTACCAAGGAGGAATCAACAACATGCCTCAGGCTGAGGAAAGACAAAGTTTGGTATTAAAAAACATTAGCACAGAGGAGGAAGTAGCGTTACAGGCACTAGAAGCCATTATATTAAACAAATCTCCAGGGCCTGCTAGTTCTCTGCCAGTTTTAACGAAAGGAAATGATGGATTCTATTTATAGATGAAAGTTTTACTCAAAAAATCAGTTAAGACATCTACACCTCCAATTCAAATACACAATTGCACCTAAAGAACATTTCAGGAAATTACTGTACATACTATGAAATTAGAAAGTAAGGAAAAAGTATATATGCGTGCTTAAAAACATTCAAAAACTTATAGAAGTTAACTGAATTGTCATTTTGTAATAGATTTTTTTCACGAATCCAGACTTCAAGTTCTAAGGTACCCAAAAAATATCTACATGAAATGCTTTAAAGTTTTTTTGTGCATCTCCTATCCACAGGTCTTTCATGCTGGGCATAGACAGCTGAAGTAAAGTGGAATAAAGAAAAATCAAGTACTGTATATTTAGATATATACAATGAAAGCTGAGAATTTGATTTCATTAATTGTAAGTTTTAATTAACAACACCATTATTTTCTGGTTTCCAGGCCTGGCAACTGGGATGGAAATAGTTGTCTTTC